ATTACGTATTTGAGGTCTTTAAGGAAGAGGCTTACGTGGTCAGCCTTCTTGGATCGTTGCATTTTTTTTTTTTTTTAAAGTACATTGTGAAAACAATATATGCTGGTAGAGAAACCCATAAAAGTAGAAAGAAGAAAAATTACCCAGAATTTACTTGTCCAGAACAACAAATGGATTTTAGGGGTATTACGGGGTAATTGTGGGGGTATTACCTTCCAGGTCTTTTCTACCGGCTGTAGTCACAAGTGTCCCTAAAGAGCAATGCTTACGGTCTCCCATGTACCACCGACCCCAGAGTCAAACGCTAGCGCTGCCTGGAAGCCCAGCGGTCTCCTGGGAAGTGAGCTTTATCCTTGCCTTGGCCTTTTGCAAAGGCCAAATTTTATTTGTCTTTTAATACCTACAATTTGGCAAACTCCTCTATGCAAAGGTTGGTGCTGCATCCAGAATTCAGGTTTCAGGGGAGCGGCGTGCTCCTGACATCGGGGTCCTGGGTAGAAGTCCGGAAGTGCGCAGGCAGCCACGGGCCCTGGAGTCGTGACAAGTGTCCCTAAAGAGCAACGCTCACTGCCCAACCCCAGGATCACGGCACACGACAGGGACACCCCCCCCCCAAATCCAACTCGAAGGGAATTTGGGTATGAGTTGAATTTGGATGAGTCAACAGGAGTAAAAAGTGAGCCTCCCATCACACAAGTCCTTAAATGCCAAGCTGAAAGAGGTTAGACTATTCTGATGGCAAAATCCACTTCCCGAAGGGCTGTGTGCATTGGCGTGCATTCTAGAAGGGCGCGGCCGATACCGGGGCCCTAGGAGATGGGACCGTTGTTTGACACCCAGCCCAGCAACTGGAAGGAGTTGTGGAGGAGGGCCCAGGGAGGTCTCATTTGGAGGGGGGGTACCTGGGAGGCTGAGGAGGCCTGCTGGAGGCGTGGGCACCCAGGGGACGCTGTTCTGTAAAGGCTCTCAGTATGGTTTTGAGAAGAGAGCACACTGACCGGCGCCCGGGAGCTGGATAGAGGAGGACCTTGTCCTCAGTTCGTGGCTGAATCTTAGGGCGCTTGTACACTTGCCCACAAGTATGTACATGTGGACAGGAGACCGCTCACACGGCTTTTGAGGGTTCCCAAGCATGAATTTAAAAAAAGAAGAAAAATGTGTGCTTTGAATTAGATCTACGTGAAAAAAATAAAATAAAATAAAATAGGCAGCAGCTAAGCCATGCGTCTGGGACACTGGCTTCCCTCCAGGGCTCTTCAGCAGAGTTGGGTTTCAGCATGCACAGAAAAGAAAGCGGCCATTCCTCAACCTGGATTTCCTTGTCTGTTTTGCCCTATAGATATGAATCTGAGCCCTCCGAGGTCTTTTTCGAGCAAGGAAAGCACGCCCGATACCTCTCCCACGGAGGAGCCGTTGGGATCCAAAGATTACCATGGATTGGCTCTTTCAAGTTATTTCTTCCATTGCTTTGGACCAATAAATATTTTAAAAGTTGGGTTCTGAGCTCCAGAAAAGCCAACAAAAACACTTAAACATATGGATTTTTTTTTTTTTTTTTTTT